TTTCTTTTCTGTTTTTCTCTTTATAAATAAATAAATATATATATATACATATATTTATATATATATTTATATTTATTTATATATTTATTTATTTATTAGTAAATAAACACAGAGAGATTTACGCGGAATTTGATTTGGGCAGTTTGGAGTTGTTGTTTGTACTATTGAAGTAATAATGTGAAGAAAAAATAAATTAAATATATTAATTAATTCTATATTTATTTTTATTTTATTATTTATGCGGCTTCCTCTTAGGCCTTCTTCAAGTAGCGGGCGTAGATAGTAGAGAAGACGAAGCAGCAGAGCAGCAGCACAATTAGCAGCAGCAGCAGCTTGCAGCAGAAGTGTGTAGGGTTTTGCTGCTTCATAAACAGCTTCAATTTGTTGTCTAACGCCTGCAGCTCTGCTGCTGCCTGCTGCGTCTTCTCTCCTAACTTCTCAACGCGCTCCCGCTGCTGCTCCGCATGCTCTCCAATCGTAACAGCAACTTCAGCTGCAGCAGCAGCGACAGCAGCAGCACAAGCAGCACACCACAGAAGTGAGGAGGGATCCACCCAGCAACAGCAGCAGAAACAGCAGGGCCGACTCGGTACACTGAAACGGAAACACTGGCAGCAGCAGCAGCAGCGGCAGCAGCAGAAGCAGAAGCAGCAGAAGCAGCAGCAGCAGAAGCAGCAAGCAAACTCGCGATGGAGAGCCGCAGAGGGAAGAACGAAAGAAATGAATAAAGAAGAAATAAATTTAAAAAGCAAAGTGCACTTCAACAAAACAAACAAAACATAAAATATTCAATAAAGATATAAACATACACTAAAATGCGAGTAAATATAAATATATATATATATATATATATATACCTATAGGCAACTCTATATATGCACATACACCTAAAAATAGATATGAAGAATGCTACAAAATAAATAATATGTAAGAGTGCTAAAACTAAAGGGCTAAGGTGCGTAAAAAAGAGTAAATTTAGAAGCAAACAAAGCGTGAAAAAGTTAAATAATTTATTTCACCGATTTTGTCGATTGATTTTCCGATTTCTACGACTTTAGCGTCGAAAATTTTGTCTCGCTCGGCCCATCGTTGAAGTACTCTTTCATCTTCAGCAGACAGCTCTTCTGCTGCTGCTGCTGCTGCTGCTGTTGCTGCTGCTGCTGCTCCTGTTGATGGTCTGCCGCTGCTGCTGCTGCTGCTGCTGCTTTTCATCAGCTCTGTTAGAGATACTGCTGCAGTCGGACGGCCCTCCATCGAGTCAAACGACTGTGGGGCGCCTTTGCTTAGCCGATGCACCGCTTCTATCTCCCTGATACAAACAAATAAATAATTAAATAAATAAAGTAAATAAATAAAATAGATGAATAAATAAATAAATAAATAAATAGAGTAGTTAAGTGAAGGGAGGGAGAAGGAGACAAACAAACGCCACGCAAGCAAACAGAGCGACACACAGAAAACAAACAGAAAAAATAAAATAAACAAATGAAGACAAATTAATAAATAAATAAATAAATAAATAAGCAAGCAAATTAACAAACAAACAAACAAACAAACCCAAAGAACGAGCGTAGAAAGATATTTATAAAGAAGCAGCAAAGCAGATCTCGGCAGAGACATAAAAAGATAAATATTTGAAATAAACAAAGACAAACAAAACAAAGCAAACGAAGACAACTAAGAGATGAATGCATCAGCAAACAGCAGCAGAGTTAATAAACTCTAACAAGACAGAGAGTTTAAGACTATAATAATATTTGTATTTGATTAAAAAGAAAGAAGACGATACCGCAGCAAAGAGTTCAGCTGCTTGTGTCTCCTCTCCATCTCTTCGTCGCTCAGTTGCAGCTTTTTCTGCTGTTTGTGCTGCTCTACAAATATGATACCCAGCTGATTAAATTTATCTTTCATATACTTTATATTTTCTTCTATTGCGCTGCGCTTGTTGATGGCTTCATATGTCATTCCTTTTCATAACAAACACAACGCATATATTTAAACATATAAATATAAAAATATATAACACAGACAGATAGACAGAGACACACAGACAGAGAGAGATAAAGATATGCACGCGGTATTTACATTCTCAAACATCAACAAGACGGGCGCCCCAACAAACGCACAACCACCAGCAGCAGCAGCAGCAATGGCTGAAGCAGCAGCAGCAGCGGCAGATGCAGCGGAAGCAGCAGCAGAACATCGAGGCAGTTGCAGCAAGAAAGAGCCTCGCGAACCAGCATTGTTCTGCAGGTTAACGGGTATATATATAATATATATAATATACATGTATATATACATATAAATATATATACATATATATATATGCATATATATACATATGCATAACAAATACTTCTTTAGCAGCATAAGAGCAGACGTAAAGCAGATAAAAATAAAACAGGAAGTAGACAAACAAACAAACGAACAAAAGACGAGGGGAACAGTCAGGAGACAAACAAAAAAAGCACAAGTCTAGCGAGCTGCGAGTAGAGACGGAGTGCAGAGTTATTACAGCACTTACCTGAGGTTTCTAAAATACGTCTTCTTTGTTCAATAAGCTCTCTTGTTTCGTCTAAGACCTGAGTGATGGTGTCCATACACTTGAAGAAGGCGTCTTGTTCTTTGTCTTCTTCTTTGTCTTTTTCAGGGTCTAGAAGACATTCTTCTTCGATAGTCTTTACAATCTGCAGCAACTCCTCAAGCTCTCCTTTAGCCGGATACTGCTGCTGCTCTCTTCCTGCTGTTCTCTTGTCTTTTTCTCTTGCATTTTCGCTGCGCACTAACTTTGATATACTGCCCCCCAACTCCCCGCTCTTTATCAGCCCTTTGCCCTTCGTTTTGTTAGCGCGACGGCCCCCCAGAGAACCCAAAGAAGGCAGACCTCCAACATTTGTCTTTCGCTTTCGTTTCAAGTCCAACTGCTGCAAAGAGGGCAGCTGCAACTCCTCTTGAGGAATCGAAGGCACAAGAGTTGGCAGAGTCGTAGGCAGCATCTTTGCAAATAATATAATATACTACTGGTCAACTCAAATAATCAAACTGCCCTTAGAAAAAGGAAGAGGCACACTGAGGTGTCAGAAGCGCGCTCCGTTCATTTGAAAGAAAAATAATAGTAATAATCATTTACAACGCATACACCCAGCAATGCGGAAAACAAGATATATTGACGATATTACAAACACCGACAAACGCAGGCCCCAGGCCTCTCGGAATATAAAAAAGACTGACGGTCAACGAACTGCTGGATGCAGCCAACAGCCTGACATGTTTGGATTGACGCAGAAAACAGTCTTCATTCCTCGCAGTCAACGCGAAACAAACCAAAGGAGGAGCAGCAGCAGCCACTCTGCCAGCCCTGCACCCTCCAGGAGGCTAAACTTTCACTTGAAACTGATACCTCTTCCCTTAAATAAAGTCTTCAGTTCGTCTGAAGGATATTTAGGGACCGCCAGCAAATGCTCGAGACAGACGAGTTGCATGCAACGACTTGCAGACAGCGGTCTCCTCGATCACTGAACATGTCCAGCCTGTCTTGACGATTATATAGGATTAAAGAACTAAAAAAAGTACAGTGAAAAATAACTCTGGAATTTACATAGAAATGCACAACTATTCAAGCCACATGCACAATGGCTGGCTGCCAGTCAGCCATACCAACGGGTCCGCTCCTCCAGGCCTCTCTTCTGTGCAGGCAAAGGAAACTAATCCCTCATGATGTTAGACGTATCATTTTCCAGTGAAAATGTTGACTTAAACACCTTCATTACACAGATCTTTCAGTTCTTTCACTAGCTCCAAGCGACGAAACTGCGCGCCTGTCAATTCAGGCAGCAGGCGACCAAGGTACTCAACGCAAGCGGTGTATGCCTTCCATTGTATTTCATCGCATCTACACTCAGTGATTCAGCAGAGAGTTTGGAACGCATACCAGAGTAATACTTGCTGCTATTTGGGAGATCAGCGCCCTCCTCAGGACAATTCTTGCACGGTGTATGGCACCGACTTGAGCCGCCCCGGTTGTACTGCTCGTACGTTTCCCCACTCCGGTACTACTCGTGTGTTTCCCCACTTAGGGTAACTAAAACATATTTGAAAGTTTAAAGATGGTGGACCGCCGTGAATGGCAAAGCTGCGGTCTTCTGTCCCATTCTGAACATGAATGGAACGGCTGAAAAACGGAAATCTACTACTGTTGTAAAGTGCTCTGTTGTGGAATATAAGTGGACGTGAATATTGAACTTGCGATTGCATCTGCCATATTTTTGGACGCTCGCCACGCTTCGTGCCCTGTATACTAGGTTTTCCCAGGCTAGTCTTTTTTCGGCCTGCCCCCAAAGATGGATGGAACTGTGCCAACATCCACCCAAATGTCAATTTCGTCTAGGGAAGTTCGGCGTTGTTCGGGCGGAGTGTCTTTAATTCGAAAGAAAACTCGACCCTCTCCGTCCTTGTGCTTTCGCAGGTATTTCTCCGTGTTCATGGCGTCTGGCCACCAAACCCAAGGTAGCGCTGCTCTCTTTGAAGCACATGAATAGGTGCAGAATTTGTTTAACCAGTAGTAGTGCTTGCCTGGGCCAAAATATCAAGTTCGAGTTGGCGATTCCCTGGAAACTGAGGAACGAAGGCTGGAGTTGTACAGTCAAACTGAAACGCTCTTCTGTTTGGTGGGCGGGGCGGTGGCTGTGTAGGCACCCTGTGGAAAGGTGCCACGAACGTTGGACGCCAATATTGCTGCGGAAAGTGGTGATGTATTCGATATGACTGGTAGTGGTGCCCTCTTCTATACTGAAGCCCATGTTGTGGGCGCGGGCCTTGAAAGTGGTGCTGGTCATTTATTTGGGGAGGGTATGCGCGTGTATGCTGCATTTGGTATGAGCGCATTTGGAATGGATCGTATGGCAGGTAGAATCGCTGGCGGGGGTAAATCGTCTCATCGAGAGGGTCTGTGCTCACGCCCCTATTTGATAATTGACGAGGGCCATGGCCTATGACTTCGGCCCCGCCATGGGATGAGGGTTGCGCTGCGGGTTGGGCTGGGGCTTGGCCTATGCCATGGCCCGGGACTGGGCCCCAGCTATGGCCTGTAGCTTGACTCGAGCTGCGGCGTAAAACTTGAGCTGTGACTTGGCTTTGGACGTGGCTCGAGCTGCGGTTTAGAATTTCGTCAGAGCCGTGGACTGCATCTTGACTGGAGGTGCATCGAATTTCATCTGTGCCTTGGTCTGAGGCCTGGTCGTAGCCATAGCCTGGAACGTTGCTCGAGTTGCTCCTCTGAATTGGCTCTGGGAGTTGGCTCGAGACTTGGCGTGAATCGGGGCCAGCGTCATGGCTGGGGACTTGGCCTATTCCGTGACCTGGGATTTGGCCCAGGCCAGAAGGTCGTTGCGGAATGGAATTTTCTAGCTGTTTTCTCGCTTGCTCAATGCAGTCATAGGGCTCTCCTTTTTCGAAGGGTTGCCAGGCTGGATATTCCAATGATGCCAGAAATTCCTGCTGTTGTGAATCGTCCTGTTGTTCGTCTGGCGAATACAGTTGGAAAGGCGAGGCTGGATAGTCTTGGTGGACCTCCAAACGTGCTTGGTTCGGCTGAAATGAATTCTTCCTTGATGGTGGCTGGGATGGTTGTGATGAAGACTGAGCCGGATCAAAGTTGACGTTGCGCAGGCGCTCTGGAATATTAGGCCTGTTGCTATTGCTATGCCGAAATCGTTCAGGAGCAAATGCTGTTGCGGACCTGTTAGCCGATTTCGTGTTCAAGCAGCAAATCGTTTACTCGAAACTTCCGTCACAAACATACCCGACGTGTTGAGTTCGTGGAAGAGGCGGAAGGCCACGTTGTTGTCCAGCCGGGGTCCAAGGCGGCGTGGAGTCACTACTGTCCTGCCGTCGGGCTGGTGCTGGTGAATTACTCCTGGAATTCAGGGTTCCCGTCCGTTGGAGATCCCCCTGAAATCCTGGTTAGTTAACAACGAATGGGTTAACTTCGCAGTCATAGTGTACCTGATGTGTATGCGGATTGGAAGAACTTCGGCGAGTTTCTGAAGTGCCGGGTTTGCGTGGCTTCATCTTCACAAACGCGGTGATTGGTAGACACCGCGTTGTTTCTTTTCGAGGTGAGGCCTGGTGAATAATTGCGATACTGTGAAAAATGACTCATCAGCTGACCATCGAGATGATCAAGAAAGGGAGTTCCAAAAACGTCAAGCAAAAAAGATGTGACGAGCATCTGGATGCTGTATCAAGCGCCAGTCATAGTTGTACATACACCGCAGCTCAAGTTGCACCGCCCATAGGGAACACCCTCGCGGCGGTATATATAGAGCTGTACCATAGTTTCCAAACTCTGCCCATTGGCATGACAGAACATTTTTGAGCATGCGTGTCGAAGTGCCAGTCCAAGGAGTCGAAACGCCACAAAAGCGCATTGACGATACAACTTAGCGGCAAACGGCACCTCCAAGTCCTCATGGCACTTTGCTATAACGGAGAGGACAACACAGCAATGATGCTGTTTGTGTGGCGTAGCCAACAACTGAACATGAGCGACAATAAATATATATAAGTTGTCACAGCACCCAGCGTGTCCTGCAGAGTGCTTCAATCATCATCATCATCTCGAACCCGAGGAAAGTAAACAAACCTCCGTCTGTCCGATACAGGCAACGACCCATCATCTATCATCAATTCAGCTTCATGTACTGCAAAAATTCGTCCCAATCGATCTGCGCAAACATGAACATGAAATAAAAAACAGTTATCGTCTGCGTCTGGTTAACTTTGCACAATCGAGGAAGCACGAAAGCACCCGAGTTTACAGTGTACGAACCTGGCCATCACCGTTTTTGTCTATCTGCGCCACGAGCGCCTTTATTGTATCTTTCGGGACTAATCGGTAATCCTCGCCACCAAGAACTGCTTCAAACTCCGGAACCGATATTTTCCCATCTCCATCCTGTACAAATAATAATTAACCCACCCCACGTTTCTCAGCATTGCACTTTGTAAAGGCGAAATGCCCTGGAGCAAACATATAACAGTTGGAAAATGCCGTATTTCCACGCATCAAATTTACCTTGTCCATTTTCTGGAAAGCAGTCCAGATGACGTTTAGCTCCGATTCTTGCCACGAGTAGCACGCTGCCAGAAACTCTGTGAACAAGAAAATGCAAAAACTCAAGCCTCCAGCCTTACAAGCGGTGAATACCGTCATTTGTACCGTGTTCAGAGGGGAAATGGGGAAAGCCGACAGCAAACATATATATGTGAAGTGTATTCGTCACCTGTATACGAAACGTTTCCGGAGTCGTCAACGTCAATGGATTGAATGATCCTGTTGATGTCCCACTGAGGAAGACCCACCTGGGCAAGGCCTGAAAAAACCACAAGAACCAACAGCCTGGCCTAAGATTAATCAATGCTCAGCTCAACTTCCCGTGAAATGTGGGAGCAGAAAGAGTGCAGCAGAGTGTTTGCCCTTGGAGTGTAGCACACCTTCTGTCAATTCACTGTGGGAAATTGTTCCGTCTCCATCTTTGTCAAGTTTGCGGAATATTTCGTTAATTTGCCGTATCTGAGGTCCAGTGACATTTAGCTGGTGGACCATCAGGTTCACCAGCGCATTCTTCAGATGTGACTGACGCATGTATTTCTGCAACAACGTCGAGCAACGCAATATATATATATATATATATATATATATTATGGAGTTCTAGTTTGTGTAAGAGGACCGGTATCGAAAGGCTTTGTGTAGTGGTGCTTCCATCCAAAGTTCCTGGGTCTTTCTGAATGCGCTAGAAGCAGAACGTTTAACTCTAAACAAAGGTGGGGCTGCTTGTCGTGAGGAGCAGCACCTTCATGTTCTCGCAGATGATTGGGGAGATCTGGATGTCTTTCAAGTCTGCCTGTTTGAACCAGGGATGTTTCAAGACTTCCGTTGCTGTAGGCCGATCTCGTTCCGGTTTAACAAGCATCCACTTAATAAGAGATACGGCTTCTTTGGTGAGATGTGCACATTCTCGGGCGTAATTGGGCTCGCCTGTAAGTCCATAAAGATAAAGAGATTAATCCTGGAGATAAACAAAACTTTTCATTATAGAACTCCGTACAGCAAGGAGCTCGAAACGACCTGACAAGTTGCATCACCCTCCCCCCAACCCCGCCGAAACAACCATCCCCCCTTCCCTTTGTTTGTGCCGCCATGGAGGAGCTTACAATTACAAACCTTGTATTTAACTTCATCAATGCTGCTCCCAGTAAAAGGAAGACACCCCGTGAGCAAGAAGTACATCACGACCCCTGAAGCATCCGCAGCAGACGTTGAAACGCGTTGAAAGAAAATAAATTATTAGCCTTTTCATCACCAGGGCTAAAATCCCTTTTTATTAATAGCCCCACAACTCACCCGCTGACCAGACGTCACACTTTAGAGACACATTTCGCATGAAAACTTCTGGCGCCATGTACAGAGCAGTGCCTGCGTAGCAGAAACAGCAGACAGAGAACAGCTATATATATATATATATATATATATATATGTCTTTGTCCGATAATAATAAAAATAACACACGAAACAACACCCCTCCAGGCGGATTTAACAGCCCAGCTGGCTTCTGTTCATTCATACGAATCCTCACCTGCTGCATTTCTGCTGTGTGCATCCGTCTTCTCAAACAACTCCGCAAGGCCTGCATACCCGCAGCAACAGCAGCAGCAGCAGCAGCAGCAGCTGTAGCAGGAGCAGCAGGACGTTGCCTCGCTTTTAGGAGTTGTTGGCTACAGCCACGCTGTCTGCAACCCTAAACCCTACACCCTAAACCCTAAACCGTACCGAAATCAATCACTTTGATAGGGGAGTCTGGAGATTTGTCTTGAAACAAAATATTCTCCGGCTTGAGGTCTCTGCAAATGACAAACAAAAAACAGCAGCAACGCATTTGCCTCGTTCTCCCCCATAAACTTCTGCAGCAGCTCCTTCTCACCATATATATATATATATATGTATATATATTATATACATATATAATGTACTTAAATATGTATATATGTAGACGTATATGCATCTGTAGACAGAGATATACATTGAAACAGAGCCATACACCTATGCATATACATATCTATATATATCTACATACATATGTATATCTATATATATATACATATATATATATACATATATATTATATGTTTGTTAAGTGTGTAGGAGTTAAAGTTGAAGAGAAAGCAACGAATTAATTGAAATGTTTGGGTTTACTTGTGCGCCACGTGTTTGCTGTGGAAGTAGGCGAGAGCATTCATCAGCTGCCGCATGATTACGCTGACGCTCTTCTCAGTCAAAGCGCTCCCCATACTCTCCGCCTCCACCAAACGCTGCAGCAACTCCCCCCCTTCGCATGTCCTGTGCAGCAGCAGCAGCAGCAGCAGCAGCAGCAGAAGCAGCAACAGCAGATGCAGCAGAGGAAAAAGCAGAAGCAGAAGCAGCAGCAGCAGCAGATGTTAACAGCACAAAAGCAACAACGAAATGCTCAGACAAATATACCCAAAGGACTCCCTTTCGTCCTCTTTTGCTGCTGCAGCAGCAGCAGCAGCAACAGCTGTAGCAGGAGATATAGGAGGAGGTTTAGAAGCGGCTGTCTGCTCCGTGGAGTGATATTGTGTTGTGTATGCTTAGATTGTTTTGTTAATCATATTAACAATAATATTTTATCTTAATACTTTATGTTAATATTGATATTAATATGATTGTTGTTTTACAGTGTTTAGTTGCATAGTTTTTATTTGTATAAATTTTATTGTATGCGCTGACTGTTTTCATTTGTATGAATTTCTATCGTTTTCTTTTAATTCGGAGAGTTTTTATTGTATTGTTTTATAGCATTTATTTGTGTAGGTTCTACGCTAATATATATATATATATATGTATGCATACATATATATATACAATATATATATATATATATATACAATATACATATATATATATATATATATGGTTTTACTTTGTATAGATTTTGTTGTATGGTTATAATTGCACCGATTTTCAGTTTTAATTGCATATTTAAAATGGAGTTTCAAAGTGTATACTTTAACACCTCTAATCGTACACATTTTATCGCATAGTTGTTTAAATAAATCTGTATATAATATACATAAATGTGTACGTATCTATATATTATATATATTTATTTATTTATTCATATTTATATGTATTATATAATATATATATATATATATGAAGACGAACTCCATGACGATGTAGACGTTATGATGGTCTTCATAAACTTCGAATATTTTGATGATGTTGGGGTGGTCGAGGGATTTGAGCACTTCAATTTCTGCTTCTATTTGCTCGCTAGGCACCTGACTTCTGTCTCTGTTTATTGTTTTTATTACACGCTCTAAGCCGCTGCTGCAGACCGCACACAGTCAAACACAGCCACTCAATAAACACCTGCTAGACAGATACAGCATAAACAAAAAGAAAAACAAAAAGAAAAACAAAAAAAAGAGAGAGAGCAGCAAAAGAACTGAGGAAGCAGTAAAATAATAAATATTAAGAATATAAAATAACAAGACAAAAAAGAGTAAAACAAATAAATAACAACAATAAAAGAAAATAGTAAGATAAATTGAATTAAATTAAATTAAATAAATAAATAAATAAATAAATAAATAAATATTACCTTTTTTCGATGACGCGGTGGACATCGCCGAATGACCCCGACCCCAACTTCTTCACAAAGGTAAACAAATCTATAAATAAATAAATATAAATAAATAAATAAATATAAATAAATAAATAAATGTATAAATAAATAAACAAATAAATAAATAAATAGATAAATAAATAGATAATTAATTAATAACAAATCTGCATTTAAAAAAATAATTCGCTGATTAGACAAATATACAAATCGAAGGAGAGACAAACAAACAAATTAACGAATAAACAAATCAACAAAGAAAACACACCAAACATACTGCTGCTGCTGCTGCTGGTACTTGTCGTGCTGCTGCTACTTCGATTGCTGCTGCTACAACAGCAGCAGCAGCACCACCACCAACACCATCACCACCACCAGCAGCAGTAGCACTACGACCAAAAGCAGCAGCAGCAGCAGCAGCAGCAGCAGCACGAGCAAAAGCAGAAGCAGTAGCAGCAGCAGCAGCAGGAGCAGCAGCAGGTACGCTGAGTAGTTTGATTGAAGCCTCTACCTGTAATAGCGAGCCCTGTCTGCGCTAAGTTGCGACGACCAACGAACAGCGAACGGCGAACCCGCATCGCCTTCTCTGGATAATACTTCTCTCGAACTCGGCACAGTATCTCCCAGTACTGCATATATAACATATATCATAATTAATATAATATGATGATACATAATAATATAATATAATACAGTATAATATAAAATAGTATAATATAATATTATATAATATGATATAATATAATATTAGTATGATATGATATTATATTATTAATATAATATACTATGATATGATATTATATTATTAATATACTATGATATGATATAGTGGGCTATGACATAATATAATATATTTAATATAACATAAATAATATAATAAAATGTAATATAATAAATATAACACAAACCATGCGGCAGAAGTCTTCGAGCTCCAGGTACCCGCGGCCAGAGGAGTCGAAGGCATTAAAAATCTTCCTAAGCGCCGCCTCTGCAAACAATTAAATAAAGTTAATTAAATTAATTAAATAAACAAACTAAACAAATAAAATAAATCATTAGAATCATCTGAATAATATATGTATAATATATCTATATCTATATATGTACATATATATATATATATATATATCTATTAAATAAGGGGCTTCGGTGAAGTGGGGCAGAGTCAAACATCGCAGAGCGCTACATTCAGCAGCAGCAACAACAACAGCAGAACAAGCAGAAACAGCTGCATCAACAGCAGCAGCAACAACAGCAACAGCAGCAGCAATACCAGCAACAACAGCATCATCATCATCAGCACCAGCAGCAGCACAAACAGGATATTCTGCAAGCCAGACTGTCTGGTGCTGAGAGCCGCAAGAGAGTACACTGCTTCTCGAACAGCAGCTACTACTGCTGCAGCCGCTGCTGCCGCTGCTGCTGCTGCTGCAGAAGCAAATGCTGCTGCTGCTGCTGCTGCTGCTGCTGCTGCTGCATTAGGCTTAGCATAAGGTTGAAGCAAGGATAAGAAGGCAGATAAAAGACTACACTGCACTCACCATCAACAGGAGGGAGCTGCAAGTTAATGCAGAGGCGGCAAACAAGTGCAGAAATATCTTTAAAACGAAGTCGGCCGCAGCCATTGAAGTCAAACTGACTAAAACATAAACAAACATATTCTGTTTATTTTAAATAATTAAATTAAATACTTTATTATTAATTAATATACAACTATATATATATACATAGCACAAATAATAATAATAGGAATCAATAATAAACAATCAATAATAAACAATAAACAACCAACTACAAATAATATTAATTATTATCATATTGTTATTATTATTAAGCGGAGAGAGAAAAACAAACAGCAAAGGCAAACAACAAACAAAAACAAACAAAAACTCCTTCAGCGAGGCTGCAGCCGCTGCTGCCGCTGCTGCTGCTGCTGCAGAAGCAAATGCTGCTGCTGCTGCTGCTGCTGCTGCTGCTGCTGCATTAGGCTTAGCATAAGGTTGAAGCAAGGATAAGAAGGCAGATAAAAGACTACACTGCACTCACCATCAACAGGAGGGAGCTGCAAGTTAATGCAGAGGCGGCAAACAAGTGCAGAAATATCTTTAAAACGAAGTCGGCCGCAGCCATTGAAGTCAAACTGACTAAAACATAAACAAACATATTCTGTTTATTTTAAATAATTAAATTAAATACTTTATTATTAATTAATATACAACTATATATATATATATACATAGCACAAATAATAATAATAGGAATCAATAATAAACAATCAATAATAAACAATAAACGACCAACTACAAATAATATTAATTATTATCATATTGTTATTATTATTAAGCGAAGAGAGAAAAACAAACAGCAAAGGCAAACAACAAACAAAAACAAACAAAAACTCCTTCAGCGAGGACAGTTGCACTTCTACCACACAGCAGCAGCAGCAGCAGCAGCATCATCATCAGCCGCAGCAGCAGTAGGAGCAGCAGCAGCATCAACCGCAGCAGCATCAACCGCAGCAGCAGGACAGATGAAGGAAGCAAACAATCAGAGACTGAGAGCGACGGAATAAAGCAAAAAGAAAGCGAAGAAAAAAACAACAAACAATCAAACAAAGCAGCAGACAAACAAAGACAGATAAACAGCAGCAGCAAACAAAGAAGAAGAAAACAAAAGAGATAAAATAAAATAATTTATATTATTTAATAATGCTTTGCTTACTGGAAGGAGGCAGAGGCGCTGCGCCTGAAGACGTCGCGGTTGCTCATCACCTGCTCTAACTTACGCCGAATCAACTCAGGTGAAGGACCTGCAGCAGCAGCAGCAGCAGCAGCAGCAATAGATGCAGCAGCAGCAATAGCAGCAGAAGCAATAACAACAGAAGCAAGAGCAGCAATAGCAGTAGTAGCAGCAACAGCAGACGCAACAAACAGACAGAGAGAGTTAAGCAAAAACGCAAGACCGAACAGCAGCAAAATAAACAAATAAACAAACAGAACAAACAAACAGCAGAAATAAACAAATAAACAAAAACAATCAAACAAACAGCAGCAAAACAAACAAACAAAACAGAGCAGAGCTCAGCAGTACCTGGCGGCCTTTTTGTTTGTTTTTGACTGTTCGGTGCAGCAGCTGCTGCTGCTGCTGTTGCTGCTGCTGCTGCTGCTGCTGCTGCTGCTGCTGCTGCTGCTGCTGCTGCTGCTGGTTCTTTTGCTGGGGGCCCCTGAAGCAGCTGCGCCTGCAGCTGCTGTCGGTGGTGTGCGGCCTCCATCACAACATCGAAGGAGATAATAAAAAATAAACAATGAAAAGAAACAAAGATAAAACAGAGGAAGAGCAAGAAAAATGCTGCTGCTGCTGCTGCTGTTGCTGCTGCTGCTGATGCTGATGCTATTGTTATTGTTGTTGTTGCTGCTGCTGCACCTGCTCTTGCGGATGCTGCTAATGCTTCTGCTGCTGCTGCTGCTCAGTGCGCCTGTGTAGATGTATTCGCTTGCGTCTGCTGCAGCAGCAGCATCTGCAGCAGCAGCAGCTGCTGCTGCTGCTGCTTAGGCGAAGAGGGCCTTAAGTGATTTCTCTGCCCTGCTTAGGGCGTATTGCGGAGTGTTGTTTTTATGTTTTGCTGCTGCATAATATCTGCTGCTGCTTCTGCTGCTGTATAACATCTGCTGCTGCATAATACCTGCTGCTGCTGCAGTTGCTGCGACTACTACTTCTGCTGCTGCTGCATGCGCTGCCTTCACTTAAGTTTCTTCTTCTTTAGGGCGGCGGCACGAAGAGGCAAACTGCTGCAACAACTCTGGGTTAGAAATATGCTGCTTCTGCTGCTGATGCTGCTGTTGCTGCTGCTGCTGATGCGCCTATTACTGTATCATTTTTCTTCAGTCGGAGCTGCTGTTGTTGTTGCGGTTGCCGCTGCTGCTGCGGTTGCCGCTGTTCCCGTTTTCACTGTTTTAGCTGCTGCTGCTGCTGCTGCTTCTGCTGCTGCTGCTGCTGATATATCTCGATGCGGTTTCTGTACACTAGCGGAGTCGGTGTGGTGGTGCTGCTGTTGCTGCTGGTGTTGCTGCTGCTGTTTATGTTTGCTGTCTGTGCACGGGTCTCTAGTTAGGATAAAGGAGAAAAGAAGAAAAGAGAAAAAACGAAGAGTCGATCTGCTTAAAGGTGTTGGAATAAAACAGAGAGAAGAGCAGCAGAAAAAACACGAGGATCAGCAGCAGCTGCAGCAGCAACAGCAGCAACAACAGCAGCAACAGCCGCAAATAGATGTAGTTTTAGCAGTTATACCTGAAGAGGAGAAAAGAGAAGGAAAAGAAGGAGACTATCGAGTGCCGGTGAGTAAGAGAGACGAGCTTAAGAAGCTGTTGAGTGTTGCTGCGGTGTATATACAGATAAAGAAAAGCAGGTTAAAATATAAAGACTGAATAACACTTAGTGTATTCACCATTTACAAACAAACAAATTACTCAAACAAAAGGAGAAAAGGTAAAAAAAAACCCGATGCATGCAAACGAACTAACACACACAGAGAAACAACAGCTGCTGCTGCTGC